CTCCTCCACTTGGAGCAGAACCTCTTACCTGACCTGGAGAAGGCACCCTACCCTTTTCCAGGTCAAGACCATGGTCTCAGATTTGAAGGCACTGATCCTCCTCATCCCAGCTACTTCACACTCGGCTGCGAACCACTCCAGTGAGAGCGGGAGATCACCATCTGATGAAGCTAATAGGAACATATAACCCACAAAAAAGCAGAGATGCAATCCTAAGGTCACCAAAACGGATGTCCTCAACACCTCGGCTGCACTTAGAAATTTTGTCCATAAAAGATATGAACAGAATCGGTGACATAGGGCAACCTTGGCAGGGTCCGACTCTCACTGGGAACGAGTCCAACTTACTATCAGCAATGCGGACCAAACACTGACACCAGTCATACAGGGACCTAACAGCCCATATCAAAGGGCTTAGCACCCTAAACTCCTGAAGTACCCCCCACAGGACTCTCCAAGGGTCCTGGTCAACAGCCTTGTCCAAATCCACAAAACACATGCAGACTGGTTGGGCAAACTCCCATGCACCGTCCAGGACCCTGCTGAGGGTGTAGAGGTGGTACAGTGTTCCACGACCAGGACAACAACGACACTGCTCTTCCTGAATCCAATATATGACTATCCGATGGACCCTCCTCTCCAGGACCCCTGAATAAACCTTACCAGGGAGGCTTAGAAGTGTGATCCCCTACAGTTGGAGCACACTCTGCAGTCCCCCTTTTAAAATAGAGGGACCACCACCCAGTCTGCCAATCCAGGGGGTCTGCCCCCGATGTCCACACAATACTGCCGAGTCATGTCAACCAACGCAACCCCACAACACTCAGAGCCTTAAGGAACAACAGGTGAATCTCATCCATCCCCGGCGCCATGACGGGCACCGACAACCTTGGTTTGCTGGGTTGATCCATCCCCTTCCACTGGCCACATGCCACGTCCCCAGCCAACCCAACCCCACAGCCCATGAGACCCACAGCCCACCAGCGCACCGAAGGCCCCCAGCCTAGAGCCGGGCACCAGGGCATAAACTGGCCCAAAGCCCAGCAACCCACCTGCCAGAGCCCAGGGACAGCATGCCCACAGAACCCCAAGCCCCCTGTGCCCACCCTGAACCTATCCCACCACAGCCAGGCTACCGGATCAGCGACCCACAATGTATTTGTGTGTATGGGATATAGATATGCATTAGTATGTGTGCTTGTGTGGAAATAATTTTGTATCAGAAGAAGAAAAACAACAGAAAGTGATGTGATAATAAACAAATGAAGAAAGAAGAAGAAAAAGAAAGATGAAACCCCGCCACAAAAAGTGCCATAACACCATGTTCCACCAGTTGCGTACCCACCAACCGAGCTGTGCTTAACATTTAATTTTAATTGGTAAATAAGGAAAATGTCAGTACTCGCCTTGCTGATGTTCCTAATAAAGCCATGGAGTTATGTCTGGGTCTCTAAACACCTTAGGTTTTTAGGCTATATTTAATATTTGAAAAATGCATTGGTCAAAGTTTTATTGTGTCACATTCTGGTTCCAAATAGAACAAATGTTAGTTATTTAAATGAAATGACATAATTCTGTGTACGATTCAAATTTGCAGATAATTTATGACAAACTACAAACATTTAAAATAGTCACTACTACTACTACTACTACTACTACTACTACTACTACTACTACTACTACTACTAC